GTACCAGCTGCGCCACGTGCCGGCTCATCCAGCCCCCAGACCAGCCGGGAGCCAGCAACTGCCCCGCAGTGCAGCCTGCAGCCCCCCTCCCCTTTCTTCTTGCGGAAACCCAGCAAATAAGCCAACCTCCGTCCCTTTTCCAGCAGGGAGCAGGAAATGGAGCAGCAGCACTGAGGTACCTACTGTTCCCCTCTGAGCCCCTTCTCTCACCAGAGGCCGCTTGGGATTCTTTCCCACCTCCTTGGGCTGTGGCTAAAGCTCACCGGTGAGGGAGCCGGCCTGGGCCCCTGCCAAGAGGGCTTGCAGGAGCGCTCCAGGCAGGAAGGCAGGAAGTCCTTCAAGTCTCCTGAGCACGTCTAACGGAAGCACTCTTTAAATACAACAGAATTAAATTAAAAAAAGGTGACTGCGTGTGAGGGAATCTTCCTAAGGCACCCAGGAATTTAAAAAAACCCCAACGTTCTCCCACTCGTACTATTCACAGGACACTCGTGTTCCGCCTCTCCCCACAGCTCGAGCGTCGGCCAGCTGGGAACCTCAGCGCACACGAGCCCAAAGACAAAGAACACCCTGGCGAGAGCGAAGCACGATGCGCAGGCAGCCCAGGCTTCGCTGGCTACACAGACACATCACGGGCAACACGTGGAAATGGTCACGTTGATGCCGAGGTTCCCGTTGTCGGCAAAAAGGTGCGCTACGGCCGTATCAAAGACCAGGCAGTCGCTGTTGAGAATGGCGGCCGAGACGCCGTCGTGGATGGAGCGGGGCGTCGCCTCCCACGTCAGCCGGCGGCGGTTGCCGTTCAGCTCCAGTCTGTATGCAAAGTTCTCCGCTTGCTTCCGGGTGCCGATGAGCAGCACGATGGCGAAAAACTGCTGGTGACCCTCGTACTTCTCCTGTTTCTCCAGCACCAGCATGAAGTGGTGACCGAAGCACGACTGCATCATCACCCAGTCCACCGCCCCGGGAAGGTTAATGTCCGTGGCCAGGAACACGATGTCTTCTCCCTGAAGGGTGGTGATGCTCTTGTGGACGTGCATGAGGTGGGACATCACGGCTTCCAGGGATCCCTGCCACTTGCAGGAGGCACCAGGGCACGGGCAGGAGTAGGGGCGATACTCGCAGATGTCCTCGTGCTCTGGCTTCTCCGTGTGGTGCAGCGTCAGGGCGCAGCCCGTCGTGGCGTACTGGAAAAAGACCAAACACAAGCCGTCAGGAAGGGCACCAGCACTAGTGTCCGCTGCTCCCACCTGGCCACGCTGAGCTCTTGTTCTCCTCCGAAGCTCACACCAGGCGCTTCTGTTCAGCCCTGGATTCAGAGCTGAGCGGAGCTTATTTTCCTTCCCACTCCGGAACGGATTCTTCTCATCTCTCGTGGTGGCGGTCTCCTAATGCACGCGCTCAGACAGAAGGGACCGGACGGCTGAGCTGTAGTTAGGTCTGCTGCTGCAGCGAGGTCTGATCGGCCCACGTCAGCTGAGGCGGTCCTGGCTTGGGCTTTTCTTTTCTTTAAAAAGAACAAAGGGTTCTGTTTCAGCAAACAGCTGCTGGAGGGAAGTATTTTTAAAGGAGGTAGCGTATCGCTGTCACGGAGCAGACGCGCTCCCGCTAAACTCAAACGCGGGTTCCCCACAACGCTGGCGGAGTTTCAAGGCTGCGCTTGCGAGAAGCGGAAAGAGAGGACGGTTCTTCCCCGAGCGCAAAGCTAGGCCGCGAAACCTACCCCCTCGCCTGCTGTCACCGGGCAGCTTGGAGGGTTACTTGGCTGTAGCCACCGGGGACGCTCGTCCTTTTCCTGCAGCCGTTCAGCCGCCCACACTGACCGACGCGGCTTTC